TCCAGTGCAGCCCAGGATACCATTGGCCCTCCTGGCCACAGGGGCACATTGCTGCCTCATGCTTAACTTGTTGTCCACCAGGACTCCCAGGTCCTTCTCTGCAAAGCTGCTTTCCAGCAGGTCAACCCCCAGCCTGTCCTGCTGCATGGGGTTATTCCTCCCCAGGGGCAGGACCCTGTGTTTGCCTTTGCTGAACTTCATGAACTTCTCTGCCCATGTCTGCAGCCTGCTGAGGTCCCTCTGAATGGCAGCACAGCCTTCTGGTGTATCAGTCACTCCGCCCAGTTTAGTATCATCAGCAAACTTGCTGAGGAGGCCCTCTGTCCCTTCCTCCAAGTCACTGATGAGTAAGTTGAACAAGACTGGACCCAGGACTGACCCCTGGGGACATGCTAGCTACAGGCCACAACTATTCCTCCAACAGGACTCCAGACTCAGCATTTTTAAATGAGTTTGTTTAGGGGGGACTGTAGGAGGACAAAGCATAGCTGTCTATTTTGGGTGAATAATCCCATAGAAATTATTTATATTGAGAAAGGTTAACAAGATCTACCTGAAGAACCAGGTTGATCTACCAGTCTTCATCTGTGTCCTTTAATCTGATATTTACCAGAATAATGATATTGCAAAAGGACTCTGTGTTAATGATAACAGTGACGATGACAGCAAAAACAGGAGTATTTTTCCTTCCATAGTGCCTCATTTTGCAGGGCTGTTCCATATGGGAATAAGCTACCTCCTATTTTGTGTATAGACTGTCCTCTGAAGACCCAAAAGTATTTTTGCCTTATTGCTAGTGGAAAAGCATTCGTATCTCACAGCAGCCAAACAAGCTGACTCTTTGGAGACTTCCCTTGCTCAGACCTCCATGCAATCAGATTTGGTTTAGAAGTGGCATGTTGGCTTCTCCAGTTTCGGGTTCCGTTCCTGCTCAGAGATGATGTCAGCTTGTTCTATTCCTTTGTATTTTTCCTTCCCTGTCCGCTCAGTCGATAGCTTTGGTGTTGGACGAGCAGAGTCCTATTACACTGTCTCTACTTCTAGGGAGTTTCTGTAGCTTTTTCAAGTTTTATCTTATTCCATGCTGACTTTTCTTCAAAGCTAGGAGTAGTTTATTTGTCTCTAAGCATTTTTGGTGCTATTGGGGAACTGATCAGGGCTCTGTGGAGCAGAAAGATAAAATGTAGTCAAATGCAGTTTCAACAAAAGTAGCGACTGTTGGAGACTATTTTATCTTTGCTCCTGATCTGAGAAATGACAGTAGTCTTTTATACATGGCTGATTCAAATCACTTGCTTCCTAGCAGTCCATCTATCAAACAGAATTTCATTTATAACGCAGGCAATATAAACTCCTGACGTTTGTTCCATTTTCTTTTAGATGCAAAGAGTTTGGCTGAAATGCTTATGAGGTAAGAATAAATTTAATATTTTTTAATTGAAAATTGTGTGTCAATTATAAAATCATATTTAAAAATGATCATAAGGGGAAAGCCTCCTAAGTCCTTTCTCAAAGCACACCATTTGATTGTTTGTTAAGAATAGGACACGTCACTGGTTGGAAATAGAAGAAACAAGACATTTTGTGAGACAGTATCTGTGAGCGAATACAATGATAAAAAACTGAGAACTCTTATATTAGTTGGTTAAATTACAGAACATATGTAGATCCATTTGGACATTTTTCCTATTCACAAAAATGTTTTCATAATGTATACCAAAATAATTGCTCTTCAGAGATCTTCTAATTGAAGGCAATAAGTGCCTGGAAGTAAATATCTGTAAACTTTATGGTTATATTTTTCTAAATCGCTATTGCTAGCTGCTTTTACCCTAAGGTATGTGAGAGTAGGAAAATCCATTTATTATTTTTCAGTTTTGTTCCATCAGATCACTATCCAGAAATCTAACTCTATTGTTGAATTGCAAAAGAACGACTATTCTGGCATCACAATTTTTTCAGAGATGGAAATTTCATAGCTTCAATGTTTATTGTTTTGTCTGGGGAAAATATTGAACTTTAAAACTGCTGCGTATATTTGAAAATGGGATTGCCAAAGGATTATTTCTAAGGTCAAATGATTTGCTAGAAAATGTCTTTATTTTTCAGCAACAAATCTAAAAAAGTTATAGATATTTTACCAACTGAGCTATACTCTAAACCTCCTCACCCCTGGTAAACTTTGTAAGAATTGTAAGAGTACACTTATTCAAGACGTAGTGGCAGATGGATTTAGTGTAAACTCAGCTCTAAACTGTCGGTCTGCAAATACATCTGATACATCCGGGGCTGAATACATCTCAGCCCCACTAATTTTAACAAGACTGGTGATGCAGATCAAGTCATAGTGTTCGGATCTGTGGGTTAGAAACGCCTGCTAACAGCAGGTAAACAACTTCAAGAAGATACTGTCTGATATTTTTTCATGTCACAGAAAAATGGCACAGCTTAACATATGTGGTAAGTCTGTTCTTTAAAGAAACACAGCATGATCTGGGATGAAATTCCTGGATCACCGTATTCAGTCCCTCTTCTGGTAACCACCTCATACCTCCACCAAACCGGTAAAGTGTCTTAAACTTGGTTAGCTTTACTGATCTTATCACTGCTGGTAGAAAGCCATTGCAGAATCTCAGTCCTCTGACCATTAGAAAACTCCATCAAACTCCTAACATAAGAAGCTAGTTTGGGCCCATTTGTTCCTCTGCCAATGCTGTCCTTCGAAAGAGCTCAGTTCCCCACCCTTGCCTGAGCAGTCCCAGCCTTTAGCTCTGAGCTGGTTTTCTAGGTAATTCATCTGCAGTTTTCCTCATCTGCATCAAGTCAGTTTCCCCCCATTCTCCTTTATTTATCAATAAAATCTTACTGTTTTTTAAAATATTCATATTTTATATTTCTCTTTTAAATGTGCAGAAAAAGGCAAATTATTATTGAAATAGGGCTGTGGAGGAAATAGGCGATATAGGCCTACATTTTCAGAAGCCCCTCACAATTTTGAGGTCTCAAAGTGATGCTGTTTTGGGGAACCTGCTTTCCAGAGGCTAAATGCTCAGGTGCCTCTAAGAAATCTGTGAAATATCACCAGCCAAAACTTCAGCCACCTGCCATCACTAGATGTCTAGATGTTCCTGAAGATTTAGCATGTTAATAATCAAAGGATATTAAGCTCTCTCCAAAGCCATAGTAACATAAAGCTCCTGATATTTTGTATCTGTATCTGATTTTACTGAAATCTGCTACGGTACAAATACCAAGAAAGAGGGGATGTTTTAGGCTATGTCTTGCCGTTTAAGTATTGGACAGAAAGCAGAAAAGATACAATTCCCTGCTCAGTAGGAAGCCGTGAGGGAAGGGGAACAACTTTGTGTATCTTCCCCTTTGAGGAGATTTTTATGAGTGTGCATAAAGAGAATTAAGAATGGAGCTTTAGTCTTTGCTTTGAAAGTTTGTGGGTTCAGCTGTTCAAGTCAAATATCTGGGGAGCAGGATAAGCCCCAGGAGTCAGCAGTTTAGTGGGGATTGTGTAGCTTCTCGCTGATACCTTAAATTAGCAAATAAAAATCCCTACTGCAGTATGAGTTCAGCTTTCTGATGTTTCTTTTGGGTCAAAGCATAGATCCAGCTAACTTCTTTGTGATAGGTCACTGTGAATTAGTATAGCAATTGACTCAGCTTTCTAATTTTGAACATAGGGTGAGGAATCTTTTCCCCATGAATAACCCTCTGTCTGGTCAATTGTTTACAAGATGTAGTTTTCCATATGTTTTTACCAGCTTAGACATCAGGAAGTAATGAGGTGATCTGAGTCTCTGCCAAGCCCTCAGAATGACTTTGGATTTTCAGGGCACCATGTTTAATCCCCTTACATAGCTATCTTGGTAGGTTTAACTTTATTTTTTATTAAAGATCTAGAAAGGTTATTTAAAGAGAGGGGTATTCTTTTAACTATGCACACTATTTCAAAATACATTATACGCTGTACTTGCTTTAAAAAAAGATACATTTATCTACAGATTATGAATAAAAGTTTTACTCAGTCAAGCCCAAAGGTCTGTATAGCCCAGTATCTGCCAAAAGCAGACACCTGGGTGGAGTAAAAGACTACAGCAAGCATATCCTGACTTGTTCCCCACACAGGCTCCCAGTGTCTAACAACTTGGAGCTGGGAGATTTATCACACCAGAGGGAATGGGCTGTATTATAAACAGATCGTTACAAACTCTGACAAGTATATAGTAACCATAGCACATGTTTGATTTTAAAGTCTTAGCATTTTATATTTGTAGGTTAATGAAAATACAGGTGAGTGTACTTTCTCCCTTTAAAAAATTAATGATTGAAATTCTCATATAATATATTGTTATGTGTCTGGGTTTTGCTAGGTTTGAAAATACTTGGACACCAAACTTCAAAATTGCAATCCTAAAAATCTCTGCTTCACTGCCAAGTCACTTAATTACTTTTGCCATTTTAGGCTGTTTCACCTTAAAGTTGAGCTATTGTGGTCTGCAGAAAATAATTCAAGATTCATTGAGCTAGAAAGAGATAGCAGTAACCCACTTGCTACTGCCATTGTCTATTCTATGTTTGGACACTTCGTGTCCCCATGCTTCTGTGCGGATAATTAATTAGGCCACTAGGAAGGAGGAGTGATATCACGCAAGACAAAGTAAAACTATCAAACTTAGAGCATTTTCCTGAATACAGAGTCCTGCAGTTCAGTTCTGTCTTGAAGGACTTTTGATGTCTTTTGCATTAAACTGCCCTTGGAGCAAAGACTGGAATTCAGAATTCTCTCTTTTCAGGTGAGTAATACAATCACAAACTCAGGGAACTGTCCTCTTGCTCTCTGTGATCTTTAAATTTGTCTGTATGGTTGAATACTTCGCAGTAGTAAGAGTGCAGAATGTTCGTACTGCAGAAAACCTTCTAGCTCTAACCAGGATTCTGGGGTTTAAATTCTCTGAGCAAACTGTGTGATGTGATCGCTCTGTCTCGTGCATCCCTGGTGAGTGGAAGAGGGGGTCCAAAGGTGCAGTTATTGGACTGGATTCTGTTTTCCACAGATTGTATACATACATGATTGCATATATCCAATAATTATTGGCTTATTGATTATTAATTGAATTTAGATCTCCACAGATTGGATTTCCTATTTGATCACAGGTTTGCTATATGATCTTGGGCAAGTCCAGTGCAGTCTGACTGTTCAGAAGTCTATATGGAAGCATATATCAGAGGCAAAAAAATTTATCAATTTATTATTCTCTTAACATTTTAGCAACTTGCATGGAAAACAGTAGAAGAATGGCATCTCACTTGTGCAGAGACTTTGAGAAAGTCAGTTTTGCAGACTTTATCTGCATTTTAAGGATCCTAAAGTCTTTGAAAATTTATGTGGTTAATAAGACACGTTAACTACAATTCTCCACTGATTGTATATGGAGACAAATCCGTCAACCCTGGGTAGCTCTCCCAATATTTTACTTTCATTATGATTAAACAGGCACCAACTGTAGGCTGTCTGAGTGTGTTTTAGCTATCCATCTGCACTATCAAGACAACGGTACTGCCTAATGTTCTAGGTAAAGATAGGGACGTTAAAGCTTGTGAGATGCACAGGTGCAGTACTGCTGGAGACCTCAAGAGCAGGGGAAGACAGAAGGTGAGAATCTGCCAGATAGGTGTTCCCGTGTGCCTTGTGGACCTTACCGTCTCTCTTGGATTTAGGGCAGGATTACTGATTGTTTTGTGACGTGGAGATTCCTCTTAGAAGGGGCTCTAGCTGAACCCCTAAACCTGGGCTCCTTAGGTCTCAATCACATGGAGATATCACAAGAAGTTAAGGCAAATTATGTAGCGATATGATCTCAACACACCTACATCAAACTCCTGTGCAGAGGCCCTCACTCGGGAAAGAAGTGAGCTTATCCTCAAGCAGCTTAATAGTGACAATTCCATTAATAACAATAATTCAATGCCAAAGGAGGATTAAACTAAATGATCTACAGCTGCTTTACACCAGAAAATGAACCTCCATTTGGATTTTAAAGCTCTTTGAGGTGTGACTATTGAAATCTGACCATTAGCTGATTTGCCTTAACTTTCCTTAGCCTCCCTGCATAAACAAGTATTTGCAAAGATTTTACCTCCTCCAAGGAGTAATTAAATGTGAAGGGGCAAAAAGTTCCTGGAATTTTAGTGCAGTATGAAGATTTTTTGATGTAAGCTCTATACTGGAAATGATTGTAGCACGCAGTTTTACTATCCATTTTCATTTGCTTTTGGAAGACAGCTCATTTAAGAAGTAATTTTCTGGTACACAAACTTCAAAATGAAATTGTTTCAAGTTGCATGATCATACAATAGCTGTTTTATATTCCTTGTTTTGGAATATTGCATCAATCAATTAGAAATAATCCATGAATGTAAATAAGACTTGCAGTTTCTTGCCCTTGCAAGGCCAGTGGAACTAAAAACTTTATTTATTTTTATGCAATTTATTAGTATTAATGCAATCCTTAGTTTTTAATTTATTTTTTAATTTATCAGTTTCACTGGAATTTGGAATTTATCTGATTGAAAAATAATGACTATAAGAAATTATTACAAGACATCATTTTCCTGCAAACCTGTTTTATTAGCTATATATTGCTTTACTCATATTCATGAGAAATGAAAGAAGAGCCCAGACTTGCAAAGCATTTTTATTAATTTCATTATGTGATAACATATGAAGAAAACAATATGAAATTTTCAGCAGCTCCCTACAGAAAAAGAATTAGACCCAACACTGTGCGTTCATTGAACTGCCTTGTAATGTGCTATAAATTAATACCATATATTTGTTCTGAAGAGGGGAAAATAAAATGTATGAGAATTTTGCTGATTATGATTATTTTATTTTTGGACTGAGCCGGATGGATTTGAAATGAAGAGGTGTTTAAGTACCTTTTCATCCAGGGTGGATTTTAATGTGTTTGCCTTTCTTTCATTTTTAGCAAGAATACCAGGACATCAGATACACTTAATAAGCAGCAGCAGACACTGAGGATGCACATAGATATTCCTAGAGCGCAGCTCCTGATTGAGGAGAGGGACACAATGGAGACCATTGGTAAATGCTCGCTGGGCTTATTTTCGTTGATTTATGTAGCAGGAACTTTAGGTGGGCTTCCTTTGCCTTCACACCTTTCCCCCCACCCCACACATCAAGAAAAAGAGCTACAAAGTAGTTTGTTGCATTTGAAAAGTGAACTGATTATTTTTTCCACCCCTTTGGATCATTTTCTACCTTAAGTAATCTAAGTGCAACGCTTAAAATAATGCAGGACAGTAGGAAAATGAAACTGGTAGAAAGAGCAGCTTGAAAAGAACATAAATGAAGGCTGGCAATTTTGTAATTTTTATTTTGATTTCTGTATTGGCTTTAACTAGACAGTTTGATCATTATTTGAAATTCTGAAATTATATGAAATTATATGAAATTCTGAAGCTGCAACATTAGTATTTAAAGATTTGCAACAGCCATCCTCTAAAACTTACACGTTACATGTCCTGCCCACCTGTTTATATCAAATGGTATCTTGTATTTTAACAGCTTGATCTGTTTTTAACATTTGTGCATCTAAGCAAAATTCAAGTCTAAAACATTGCATATGCCAGATAACTAGATTTTTCTCTGGGGCTGGCACACAGCTGAAATGTCATGAAAATGACTTTCTGTTTGTTTCAAAATATTTCAACACAAGATGGCTGACATCTCAACAGAATAAGTATATAAACTAATCTCGGGACTGTGTGGGTACACAGTGTGGCAAGACCTTCCAGAATGATTGATCTGGTTAGACTTCTGACTTTTTTTGCATCAAAAATCTGTGTAGAAGAAGCCGTCGATGGCAGAGAACGTGCCTGCTGTCCCAGGGAGGACGTGGCTGGCGCAGCCTCGGAAAGCCGGGAGGAGTGCAGAGCATCTCTGGGGCCCCTGGCCGTGCCAGTGACTGGGGAGGAACATGCTGAATTTGCCCGCTGTGCTGTCATGCCTGCTGCCAGATGGCCTCACAGGTCACGCTTCACAGTTCATAGCAGTGGATTTGAAGGAGAGATTTGTGCTTCACCTGAAGAACAGACAGTTTTATTTTAAACCTGCGTTGAGCTTCCTGAAGTTTGCTTCTGTGATGCAGTCTTTTGTTGCAAGCTTCATCCTCAAGACAGTTTTTACTTTTGAGTTAGAGTTGCTGGGCAATAGGGGTTTATAGTGGAAATGCCATTAGTGCTTTAACTGTAGCAATGCGATCAGTGTCGTGGTAGTAGCCTGCACTACACAAAGCCAGTCAGAGCAAGCAGGCACTTTGGCAGGCTTTGACATAGTTTACTGCCAAGAGGCTTTATTCCCAACCTGAATAAGAGCTCATCTTCTGCCAGAGACAAACTAATTTGATTTCATAATGCTCATTCTATTTATGGCCTTCTTTGGGTAAAAAATGCTAGCTATGTTATTGTGCAGAACGGTTCATATTAATGGTCTCTTGTCAAGTCACAAAAAATGGAACGGTTAGACGAAGTATATCAGCCTCTGCTGACTAGTAAACGCACAGAAGCCCGATTTGTGCCAGTCCGCTTAGAAATACATCACAAAGCTATACAGGGATAGCATAGTGGGAAGTTCTCATGGCTTTTATTGCTATTGCAAATAGATAAAAAAAGACTGCAAAGAATGCAAAAGAAAGTCTGATAGCCTGCAACTTCTTGTTCTGCTGGCACAAAGTCAGTCGAAGATTTATTGCTGTGAAACCTCCTGCACTCAAGTGAGCCACATAGTCTCTCTAGATTCCTTTTTGGAGAGAAAGAAATATAGCACCAGGATTCCAGCTGAAAAAAAGGAAGCACGGTAGTGCACTGACTTGCCACAGGGAGCGAGGTCTGTGCACAAATTTGGTGAATATATCCTACTCTGTAGGGAAGCAATAGGCAGCAAAGCCATATAGCAGTAGGAGTCACTGCTCATCTTTTCTTTCCAGTCCTTTCCAAGGTCCAGTTTCATCTCTTGCTGTTCTTCTGCAGCTGGAGGAAAGCCCACAATCAGTGGGACTGACTAGTTTGCAAGAAACTTTTATCGCTTGCATAAGGCTTCCTGAAGCTCCTTTTTCAAAGCTGTTATAGTGAGGTTTGTCACAGGAAGGACTCTTTGGTGCAGAGAGAGCTGGTAGGTCTTAGTCCTTAGCTTCCAGAAGAGCAAATGCTAAACTTGGGTTTAGTTCCCCCACAAGAATATTTCCACTGTCTTCGCTGGGAGTACTCAGGTGCTTAAAGTTAAGCAGGTCCTTAAGAGTACTCTCGGGTCATGGCCATCATTCTGCAACGTTTTGCCTGTGGAGGAAAAAGATGGCTAGTAAAGGGTACAGACATTACCTAACAGTCCCCTTTTGGGAAGATGTTGGTGATTTCACTGAGAACATCACTAATTATATTAATAAAAAAAAAGAATTGAGTATGTTACTGAAGAGTGCAGCTGAGCTCCATGAAAATGAAGAGGGAGAAGGCAGTGTTCAAACAATAAACCAAAAATAATTATGCACAATTGAGTTTTTTGGAAGGACACTGAATGGCCTTTCTCTGTTGTAGATCTGTAAGATGAAATAAAGACATGAAAGATACGCTCATTCCGTAGTTTTGTGTGAACTTAGAAGATGAACCCATAGGTTCCCAAACTGTGGTACACACTTCAAAGTCTTGCACAGAAGTGGAGGCTGCCACTGTCATGGTGGAACGCAGATGATAAGCCTGGGGACTTATTTTGTGTTGTGAAAACATAAATGAAATTTGTTATTCAAAATCTGTTTTTTATTAATAATAGATGACAGATCAACAGTTCTACTAACTGATGCTGACTTTGGAGAAACATCTAAGCAGAAGTCACTGACTGTCACTCACACAGTACATTACCAGTCTGTGTCACAAGCTACAGGACCGCTGGTGGATGTTTCTGATGCCCGGCCAGGAACAAGTAAGCGTATAAGGGAATATGTTATCTGGCGAGGAGAAAGCTACAGAAAATGAATATTCTACTCCTGCATTTACATTCTCGTGGTTTTCTTTTTTCTTCAGTCTGAAAGTTGTGAGAAGTCTCTTTAGGTCAGCAGAGAACATTTTCTTATTCAACTGCATTTACAGATTCAATATGTTAAAAAATTGCATATGCATCTGAAATGTAGGTGTAATTTGAAACAATTCATACTTGACTTTCATTACAGGAAATGCATGCTAATTTCTAGAATTTATTGAGAAAATTAGCTTAATGGCTTTTAATGTCTAATATTTTTTTTCCTCAGTGATCAATCTTTAATGTATTTCAAAATACATCTTCTATCCTTATTCCTCCATCAAGAAAGAAATACATTTCTGATTATTGCTTTTCTGAAAAAGTTGTATTTCTAGTTTTAGTTATTACAGTAAATTACTTTTCCCAGATATCTTCCTGTTTATTAAAATACTATAATAAATATACTGTTGCAATCCATTCTTCTTAATTACTCTCATGAACATGTTCCATATCTTTGTAAATGGAAAAGAAATTCACAAATCTAAGGAATACTTATGAGGTAGGAGTATTACAGGAGTGTAGCTCACTAGCAGTGAGTTATTTTTAAAAGCTGGTAGATTATCTCTGTTCCCTGACAGTTTCAGAAGTTGTTTACTTGGTGAGTCTAGTGAATGTAAATGCTAAAAGCTAAGTAGTGCATCACCTAGAAGACAGATTATTTGAAAAATCTTCATTTTATCTTGATTTTCACCTAGTCTTTTTAAATTGTTGCTGTTCTAGTCCTGACCTTGCTGCTTTCCTAATTCTGGGAAAGTTTTAAGTTATGATTAGTTGTTTCTTGAAGACTGGATTAGTACCATCATATGGATTGCCTTTCTTATCTGTGGACAGTTATGGCATTTGTATTAGAAGAGTCAAGATACAACATTTGTTTTCTCTCTGGTACTGTTCTTTTCTCCCTCCTTTAGTTCATGCAAATACTGACTAGCCTGCCTGGTAAGAGCAAAAATATCACCCAGGTATTTATCATGTTGGCAGATCAAGGTTATCTCAGTAAGCGATGGACTCTCTATTGTTTTCAAACTACCTTTTTAATGAGGAAAAAGGTACCACCCCAAAATTGCGTAGTTGTCCCATACCACAGTGTTTTAGTGAACCATCATCTTCCACTCCAAATCCCTCTTCTGTGTGCAGTTCTGTGCTTCAGCCCACTGAAGTCAGTGATAGACTTCCCTCACATTAAACTGGGGTTTAGCACAGACCTAAGAGCATGATCTGTGTCCAGCGTGGCTTTGGAGATAGCAAATCCACCGTCCCTGTTATTATTCAGTAAAGATCTGATTGCAGCAGGGCACAGGGCTAGGTTGAAGACTTTTGGGTAATATTCTCTGGATTTAAGGCCCTAATTTTTTGTTAGAAGCTGGGCTACGGGATTTGGTCAAGATCCACTACTTTCTCTGTTAAGAGGGAAGTGATGCCCAGTGCAGGACTCACGGCTCAGAGACTGGGGAACTGCCCATCCCTCCCTGCCTCACCCCAAGGGTCTCTGAGCACTCCCACACCCTGCGATTATCAAATTGCCCCGAAAGCCCTAAGATGTCATCTAATCCTTTTATATTTATTTGTGAAAGAGGTGTGCTTAATGTACCTTCCTCTTGCTCACCTCAGCTCTCTAAGGCTATATTTCATTCAGGCATTGTTATCTTAGTAACGAGGGCACCAGATGTGTGCTGTTTTCCATTGCATGGGCAGCGGAGCTCTCTGAGTATGTGGTACGGAGTGCTTTGTGCAAGTGCAGTACAGCTCATGCAGGTCTACTGCTCAGCATATGCTCAGAGGGGCTAGCACTGACCTGCCGTGGACTGGCAGCATGCTCCCTGGCCCTCTTTCAAACTGCGAGTGAAGGCCTCGTTAAACACTGCCTTAAGGCCCTCCTGGAGTTCAGCCGTCTTCTCCAAACAATCAGAAGGAAGAATATCTAGAAATAAGACCAACAGCTTTTCTCTTAACTAGGTGAGATAAAAAAATGTAAGCCAAAGTTGTAGCTCACTTTTCAGAAAAGGAAAGGGGAAGGAAGGAAGCTAGAAAGTTGGAGAATGGAAAGTCTCTGGCTTAGAGGGAGGTGGTGATGCCTTACAAGGTTGAGGTTGGACCTGCCCCTGGAGAGAACGTACAATGCTGCAGGATGGTGGGTTGAATACCGTAGAAAGTAGGGCCACTCAAGCAGCAGAAGTCTCCCCTCGGTTCTGCTACAGGGCTTAAAAAGCTGTGGACACTGCAGAGCAGTGGGCTATGTGGGCTGGTCAGCCTTCAGCCCGGCCCCTTTGCCTAGCGGGCTGCTGGTGGTTTGAACCAGTGCAGCTGCTGTATAGCATAAGGAATATAGGCTGTACATATGCAGTGGCATCTATTCTGCAAGTAGCTATGGAGACGCTGTGAGAGAGTGTCTTCTGCATGCAGCTGTGTTGCCTCCTGCATCATGCAGCAGCAAGGGAAGCAGCAGTATGCCCTGAGTTTATCCACCGGCACCCTCTTTCTGTCCTTTGTGTCTTCCTTCGAAGCAGATAGCAGGCTCACTTCTGGCTACCCAAGAGCCACATGCCAGCTTTCCACACTTGGTACGATCAGTGCTTTATACTAACAGACTGATCACTTTGTGCCAAGTGCTTTTTTGGATCTTATTCACATGTTACTACTATCTGTTGCACTACTGACAGGATCAATTATTAGTGGCACTGAGTTCGTATTTTTCCACTGCTGTGGTGGGAGGATGTGAAATAGGAGAGGGAACAGGCCATAGTTGCTATCTGTAAATAAATAACTTATTCCTTTGAAGCAACAGGATACAAATACTTAACAGGGAATGCTTATGCAGAAGCAATGCTCAGAGTTGTTATCTGGGTATTGCTTTCTCTTTAAATTACTTCTACTGAAGTCTCTCGCCTCAAAGAGTGACAGTGTCACTATTTGAATATCAAAGAACATTTGAATAGATTTGAAATTTTTCATTTCTAATGCCCTTATTCTCTATTGTTAATAATATTCTTTTAGAAGCTTCGAAGAGAAATCTTTCAGTGCTGATTTAGTCACTTTCTGTTTGCCAAATAATGATTTTCTTAGTCTACCACCTTTAATAAGGAATTCAAGCCTCTCTTCTACAGAAGATTTATTGATCATTAACAAAATCAGAGAGGTCAGCTTCGGTAGATAGTTCACTTTCACTTCCTTGGTCATCGGATCATCTTTAGGGGAATAAAGAACATATTGACCTTACGTAAGTAGCAGATGATTTCTTAATGTTGAAGAGATTTAATTTATTTACTAACTTTTTTATCAAACTGTCAAATCTTCAGGGACCTATTACTATTGAAACTCTAAGGACACTAATATAGTTTATATCTTACATCTTGGCTACCTGCTAAACTAAATATGGAATTTGTAGCTGATTAATACCCTAATATAGTAAAATTATTGGTAAAATGCCCAGAATAGGAAATTATACCCTCACATTTCCAAGCAATCTATTATCTCTCCCTCCCATGTATTTTTACAAATTGAGAGCAGGTGACTGGTGTAAGAGGTTTCTGAGAGCACATCTAGACTCCCAGTTTAGATTAGAATTAGTGTGCAATGTGGTGTGAAGTCCCTGATCAGGTCTACCTGCCTTGTGCTCTTTTGGATCTTGAGGTGGTTTCGGTGCTGGAGAACTGGTTACGTTTGGAGTAAAGGGATAATGAACCAGCGAGAAGTACATGTCAATGGGAAGTTGGCTGCGTCTCTCAGCTTTTCATTTGTACTCTTTTTAAAACGTTTGGTTTTGTTAGAAAGAGGGTATTTCAAAGAGGTGCCAGCAGTTCTGTACTAAACCATACTTTCACCCTTCCATTTTTTTTGTCACAAAGGAAGTTTGAGGGTTTTTTATGTTTGGGGTTTTTTTTCGCTATGATTTCAGTGGCTACAGGACTTTTTTCGTTGTCTATTCAAGAGTCTAGTGACAAAGACCCTCTCTGTTACCCAACATAGATCCTACCACAAGGAGGAGTGCAAAAACTGGACCCACAGCTCGCAACCGCTATGCTAGTCAGTGGACCCTCAACAGACCTCACCCCACCATATCAGCCCATACTCTCACCACAGACTGGGGGCTGCCCACCCCCAGGCCCACAGGATCAGTGGATAAGGAAAGTGACAGCTACAGCGTCAGCCCCTCACAGGACACAGGTATGATGCTCTCTGCAGAGCCGCACAGTGTAAATGGGACAGCAGTAGCTGCAAAAACATTTTTGCTCCCTGATTTACTTCCTTTGGTTCTTGAATTAGGTGCTGTTATTTATTCCTTGCTGGGAAGCTTTTAAATGCACAATTTGTAAGGGCTTCCACAGGTGCATACAGTTCTAATGATAACAAATATCGTGCCCATGGTTTCTAACACTGGGCACATACCCTGGAGTCCTTTGAAGGATGTATTGGTAATTTTTCTGGTAGCTGAAGTTCTGTACTTCCTGAATCTGAAGGAAAAAGTAGGAGAATTTGCTGTATGAAATGGCATTGACCAGTAAAGGACAGTATTAGCAGCCAGGAATATACCTGAATCAAAGGTGGAGTGGTTTTAAGCTTTGAGCTACACTGAGGTATGCTTTTTCTTTTTCCCAGTGGAGTAATATATGTTCATATGGGTTTCGTTCTAACTAGAAAAAAGGAGAGGGGGAAAATCTGGAATTAGGGTTCAAGTCCAAATCCATTCATATTGCTGAATACTGCAACAGCTAAGTTTTGAGTTTCCTGAGAAACAGCATAGGCTTTATTCCTCTAGACAGTAACTGGGGAGATACTGAATATACGCTCTGCCTTCAGTGTTTGACTGTTCTTGATGTCTTCCCATTATAGGTGCAATTCTAACTGAAAAATAAAGCTTTCTCCTTCTGTCCTACACTGAACCAGTGACAAAAAGTATATGGCACATAAATGTGTAAATGATTAAGCAGAATAGTCACAAAGCAAAGCTAATAAAGGTTAAATCTGAAGAAAGGTAAAATCTTGTTCAAAGGCACACCTGACAGAAGCAAATCCTGGCTTACGCTAGCCACATCAGGAGGATTTGCTTGTATTCTGTCCTGTTAGGAGGGCAAAGCAGAAGGGGAAAAAGCTATGTATTAACTTAGACAAACTGCCAAAGCAGTAGGTGTGATTAGCCTTCTGCTATGAAAACTAATATGACTATGTTTATTCTCTCCATAAGAACAGGCATCAGAGTTCCCTTACATCCAATAATTTATAGGTTGAAGTTCTCATCTTTTCAGAACTCATCCTCTTAAAATTGCAGTGGCATCTAACCATCACTTAACATGCGCTGTGTAGCATGTTGTGTCAGAACCTGCCTAACTTTGCTTTCATTATTGTAACTGCAGTGCTAAATAAGTAAAATCAAATCATGTGAAACTTACATCACTGGGTGAGTGAACACAGAATATGAAGATTGGTGTAAGTTATTGAATTAGGAATCAAGTGATATTTCTTCTGCTATAATAGATTCATTTGTATATAGTCAGCATTACTGATAATGATGTTTTCTGTTCTTTGGAAAGAACTTTGCGTCTAATAATGAACAGATTCAATCTCCTCCCCCTGCCCCCTTCCCCTCGCAAAAAATGACAGTGATAGCCTATAGATAGCAGCTTTGGGAAGCTCCAGAAAAGTCCAGATGATCCTGTCATAGACTGATGATAATTAGGAGAGCTGAAAAAATAGGGCAGTGTATATACATGCTTGCTTGAACAAAAAGTGCACCTTTTAGGGCTGGATGCGGATTCCTTGTGTTGTCTCCATGGAATGGTGCCACTCAACAGATGCCTCTATCCAGCTTCATCCTGCTGGGTAGGAACTTCATCCTAATTTCTTTAGATAGAGAAATCATGAAGTCTTAAAGGTTAACTCTTATAGCTATGTAGATATAAATAGCAAATGTTATCTCAGAAACCCTTGTTATGTTTCAGGTGCACTTGCGTGTGTTCCAACATTTGGTCACCCAAGGTTATTTTACTTGACAGACAAGTATCACTGGGGTTATATTTCTGATTCTCCAGTGAGCATGGCAAAGGGCAGGGAATTAGATTTGCTATGTGGTTTAAAAGACGAACTACATGTAGTTTTGTAGACAGGCTTTATAGCCTGTATTTTAACACAGCTGCTTTCCTACTCTGTGTCTGCCCTTTGACATACACACTGATTAATGTAAGTGATATTTATATCATGCTTTATATCATGGAAAGATGCTCAAGACAGTATTTCTTGTGGCAAAAAGGCAGTTATATTATGCCACTTGATTTCTAGTCAGTATACCGTAAGTACTTCAGAGGTTTGTAATTTCCAGCTAACAACTGTAATAGAGGTAGCCAGGTTACATGTCCAAGAATCAATTAAACTAAAGTGTATATTTGATCAGCTTTCTGGTGTGGGGTTCAGATTTCTAATGTGGTTGATATGTGGCAGAATTTTGCATTTCTTAGAAAAACTATACCAGGTTTACAAAGTAATAATTTTCAGCATACTAGAAATGTATTGCAGCCATTCATGGCTTTAACTAAGTTCAAATGCTCTAACTAGACGCTGTTAGGAATTTTCTGATGAGACTAGATTTCATCAAGTTCGTCCTGGGCTTGGATGAACCTTCACTAAAACTAAGGTCTTAAAGCAGATCCTTCCTGAAATACTGGCTGGTCTCCCCAGGGCATGGGATCTGAGGAGCTACAGGTCCTGAGGTTCATGAACCAAACAGGGACCTCTGAGTCCATGGAATCTACAGACACCACTTCAGGGCACTGGGCAGATGCAGCTTTCCGGGAGTTTCCAGTTCACCAGCAGTTTGGAAAGACAGTGCCTTGGTCTGATTTACAGATGTTTCCTGTGAACAAAAACTGTGCCCCAGGCTTGACCAGCTCAGAATCTTAAGCAAGTTATGGGCTATTGCAGCAATACTTATCATTTTAAATAATGCATGGTCCTGTTTACAAGTGGCAGGAGTATTGTTCTTTGTGTGCCGTGAAAACTGATACAAGGATTCTAGCACACGATAAAAATGATAAAGATTAGTAATAACAACACAGTTGCCTCTGGCTGCTATAGGAGTCCCATTTTTATGAATTTGCTATTACATTGTGCCTGTTTATTGAACATCACCAGTAATGTCTGGAATTGCACAGATCTTGTAAGGAAACATGACTCCTGCCTGAGAAATTTTAGAAAGTCTTTTGCTCTTCCAGTCCCTTGAAGTAGAAGTGTAACAGACATAACAGACCCGTGCTTTTTTGCCTTAACTACATAGAAACCACTGCTGTAATTTCAGAACGCTTTTTAATGTACCAGCAGCCATTTACATCTTCAAGAATGACAATGCTTGTTTAAGGAATATTGACGTTCTCATAAAGTCGTCATCAGAAAAGAACAGCTTGTAGGTCAAAATAGCCTGTGAGTCAAATAAGAAGCTCCCATTAGCTTCAGCAGCACTGAAAAAAGCATCTGGATAACAGCAGGTAGGCTGGTAGCTACTAAACAATATTGCTTTCTTATGACTATTTGTTCCTATGAAATGAGTTAGTATTTTGGCTAGAGTGTAGACCAGACATCGGTGTCTCAGAGATGCTGCCTTTATATCTGACTTTTGTTCTCAGGGCTTTCTCAACGGGAAGATATAAGATTGAACAGATATAGAAAGTGGACTATCCTTTTTCACCGAGACGTCACCTCTCAGAAATATGTCTGAGATGCGTTAAAAGGACAATGTAAAGAAACTGTTTCTAGTTTTGCTAAATCTGTCTGTGGGTATCTAACATTTTTAAAGCATTTTATTTTTAAGAAAATGATTTTTTGTAAGTCGTCGTCATATTTTTCATGAATTAAAGGTTATTTCTTCTAAAAACCCAAGTTAATGCTGAGTCACATAACACTGCTAGCAGAATAGGACTGTACTTTAGACCAGCTGTAATTATCAAGTAACTAACCAAACTAAGTGTTTTGCAAGCATCTATAGTGAAGCAGACTCATTTAAATCACATCGGTAACTTCAAGAATCGTGCAGGTCATTAAGAAACACTGTCATGTTTGTAACTTTTCTTCTGAAAAGGATTGTGCACATTTTTCTTTCTCCCATTATTTTTGTCTATGTTTAGATCGAGCAAGAAGCAGCATGGTCTCCACAGAAAGTGCCTCCTCAACATACGAAGAGCTAGCAAGAGCATATGAGCATGCGAAAATGGAAGAGCAGCTGAGACATGCCAAGTTCACCATTACTGAATGCTTCATATCAGACACATCGTCGGAACAGTTAACGGCAGGGACTAATGACTACACAGACAGTTTGACCTCAAGCACGCCGTCAGAATCGGGGATTTGCAGGTTTACTGCATCCCCCCCCAAACCTCAGGATGGAGGGCGAGTGATGAACATGGCAGTTCCAAAGGCCCATCGGCCAGGTAAGAAGACAGAGGTAACATTTTGATCTTTGGGGTGAGCTTTTCACCCCATGCCTAGGCTAGTTAACAGGAGAGGGTGTATCACAAGGAAGAAAGAAGTTGTTCAGGATATCCTGTAACTAACAACAGTGATAACTGACTTTCATCCTAGCTTATACTGCATTTGGGTAAATCTATTCTCCCATATATAGAAAGAGAAAAAACTTGAAATTTAAGAGCAGAAAGGGACCATTTAGACCATCAAATCTGTTCCTCTGCAATTGCAGCCGTCAGGCAATAGACCCTTTTGGGTAAGTAAGACCGTGTGGGTGTACGTATGCCCGTCTCCAGCTCAAACCACCCACTAACAGAATGTATCTTATAGCAATATTCTCTGCCTGAGAGCAAAGGCTTACTAGCAGAATGCTTCGTAAAGACAAGTTGTAGAAAACGTACAATCCTTTCTGCTTTGTAGCTTGTAGAAGGTGTTAAATCCCTTTGGTGATGTTGAGCTGTTATGCTCTCTCTTTGACATCTCTGAATATCAAGATAGGGATTTTAGGGGTGGGGGGGGAAGGCATACACATGGAGAAATTAAGACAATACAATAGCGCAAGGGATATGCAGCTTTGTACCTTCAGATATATTTAAAACCGACCCCAGCTTCTTAGTGACTGAAGGTGCTTGAGGGACATTCACATATTGGTCAATCAAATTTCTGGTTCCCAAAGAATGCTATTCCAGTGATGCTCTAATGCACAATAGCATAGGTAGATTATTTGCGAGGCTCTTGAGTACAGATATGTTATAAATTCCCCTCAGAAGATTTGTCATTCTGTATTAGAGAAATACATGAATACATGGTATTCAAATGTCAAAAAGATAACTATATTTGCTTGCTGTAAACATAATACAGTTTACTATGATATATTTTTATATCTAGTATATACATTTGCCATGGTGGGTGGGGCTACTTATAGATGCAGGAAGTAGACAGCAGTACTTACATATGTAAAAAAGAGTAGTGAGCAGAGCATGGTCTTTTGTTTAATATACAGCATCAGTGGAAAAATGGTTGTTCTGAGGACAAAGGAATGGAAGACAGCCAGTGATATCAGAAAAGGTCATTCAAAAGCAGGACCCAACAATGAAAAAAAGCATAAAGGAATTTGCAAGAGAAGTCTAAAAGAAGAACATGGAAAGAACAAGGCCATGCAGAAAGTAGAAAGTTATAATAGACAAGGCAGGAAATTACTGCATCATGCAGATAGATAAGGGGGAAAATAAGTAGGAAATAATACAATGAGAGAAATGACTGATTCCTGTGTAGTCACAGAATAGAACCACAAACACAGGAGCTGTAGAAATAAATGCAGATGGAAATAATTTTCATCTCTATCTCTGACAAAGTAAGGTGAATATTTGTACTAGCTCTGCTAAAAGGAAGCATCTATATTCACAGGTAAGTCAAATTGCAGTAATCTCCTTCCAGTCAGTCAACAAATATTTTTAATATTTCTTAAACAAATAGTTTACTCTCTTTCTTTCATGCTCCCAAATACATTATTTATGCTTATGTAGTATTTGAAAATATTCTAATATATTCCGTATAATGATGAACTTGAAAGCATACAGCACTTAAATTCAGCACTTAAATTTTAACTTAAGTTAAAAGCTTCTGAGGTTAGGACATCATCTCAGCCCCTTTGGCAAATTGCACATTTGTAGCCGCCTTTAGCTCTGTTAGTTAAAATGGTTTGAATTTGTACCTATTTTTCTTCATTGGCTTTAACTTTTCTTTGCAGTAAGGAGATGAAATATGTCATGAACTTAATAATTAGTTTCAATACCTTGGAAGAGAATTGATTGTTCCAGAGGAGCAACTTGAATGTTGGCCCATAAATTTTGAATGATATGTTATTAAAGGACACTTTATTGGGAGCTTTAAACAGAACATATAGGTAGAAATAATCCTCAGTATTAGCAGACAGACCAGTATTATTCACATTCAAATCAGTGAGGAAAGACTTAAGGGACATATTTCTTCTTTCATCCACAACTTCTGAAATTCTGTAGAAGTCATTAATAATTCAAACCTAATAGTTCAAAGTTATCTGTGCATCTGGGAATATAGAGAAGAAATAATAAAGTTAAACCATTTAGGTGAAGTAGATTAGAACATCTAAGGTATCCTGACTGTGCTCCTTGACTCTTGTCTTTATTCTTCTTTGAATTCAGTCTTTTCTTTCAAGACACTTCTACCTGTCTGTTTTCACGGTGCTCGTCTCTTCTTTTCTCCTACTTGATCTCTTTCTTGTATAATGTCACTTTCAATAACCTGTGCCTCCTCCTATTTAATTTCTGACCTCACTTTTAAATCAAACTGCCTGTAATGCTATCTGCTGTAACTTCTATGGATGCAATAAAGGTTTAGGGGTCTGCAAGAAATAGTATTTATTTTTCATAAATGATTCCCAGCAATCGTAAAAGAGTCTCAGACAGATTATAACAAAGACGTATTTGGAAAAATTGAACATTCTGAAACTAAACTACCCAAAGGTAAGGCCACAGCTTGTTGCCACCATAAGGTTTTGCTATAAGCACACGAAATGTTAGATAGTTGAAGCTTGGTTTCAGAAGGCCTTCCTGTGAGCTTCTGAGGACTTCGTGACTCGTGTTACTGATTGTTTCCTTGCTTTTCCTTAGCATCTCACTGGATTGTTTTGCACCTGTAGGGTCGAGACTGCCAATCAAATTATCTGCTTTATCCAACAGGTAGCATTTGAGACCTCAGGTTACTCCACATTGAGATAGTTCCTGATTAGGAGTAGGGAACCTGAGTATTTTTTGATTGGAGGAAGAAGAGGTGTCATCCAGATTCAATGATTTGTATTCGGGGGTTGAAATCAGCCTGGTGTAATGTTCCCAACTTCCATCTCACTTTCATTGAGAAACAGAATAAAAACATTTGCATCTTCAGCCACCTCGTATGGTTCATCAGATGTCTAGGCGAACTTAGAAATTGATGATTTCTACCACTGTAACTATGAATTAGGACTATCTTTTCAGACCCTCCACACATTATGTACAACCCTAATTCTGTAACTAGTAATGCATAATAGATGACTGCCTCATATTCTAGCCCACTGTAAGTCTTTTAGTAGTCCTTATCCCACCCAGTCAGCTTGTATTGCAGATATTCATTCAGGTGGCGTTTAGAACTGCTTCTGACTTTTTCTGGATTTTTGCTTCTATCTTTTCCCTGAAATGTAGTCTGTACAAGCAAGAATCAGCTTCATGAAGTCATCTTAATCATGGATGCAAAAAAAGCATGGATTTTGCCATGAAAATGATGAAAACTAGAAGTATAATGATACTTTTGGAAAGAAAAAGAGACCAATTGTACCTAATATAATAGTAACTAGAAAATGCGGAAATAAAATGATTTTGGCATATTGCATCTGAGACACGCGCCAGCACTTCAGAATCATCTGAACATCTGGCATGATTATTCTTCCAAAATTAAGACTGCCAAACATATTACGCTATAGCACACATCTCTACATCTCAGTTGAAGTTATTGCATCATTGTCTGGACGCTAAGCCAGCACTTTGAGGTACATAGAGAGGGTGGTATTAGAGAGTCTGCAACACAAAATATTTAAGGAGTTGTATTGTTCTTCAACTTTTGAAAAGTCACAGCTGCGAGAAATGGAAGGAGGAAATAAGATTTTTATGAATTCTCACATTCAGTATTTTTAAGGTATGTCTTAAGTAGTATCACTTTCTGATCTTTAAACATCAGAGACAGATTTTTGGAATGAGATCAGATTATTTGTAAGTTTCTGCTTCTACATCAACAGAATCATCATTATTTTTACTTTTATAATAACGGTGAATCACACATTTTGAATGATAGATCAAAGTAAAATTGCTGCCTAATAACAGCTTTTCCATAGCTTCCCAAATGTGAAAACATGGTTGGAGATCCACCTAAAAGAAAGGATGAAGGTGGAGGCTAGCAGAATCTCCCTGCCCCTCATTGTGCTAGAAAACATGACTACCTGCAGATCTACAGGCAAAGAGCAGCACACAGATTTTTGTGGACTTCACTGAGTTGGCAGACCCAATCTTAGCAGGCCTTCGAGCTGACCTGCTGGAGAGGGGTGACCCTGCTCAGTAAGCCGTTAGAATCGATGCATGTCCTGGGAGGCATGTTGAAGAGAAAAATGGAGAAGCAGAGATAGAACTGTGGTATTTTAAACACTGGGGATGAATCAGACCCTTTAGGAAAGAAAGTCTCTAATTCCTAAATTCTGTGCAGTGTTAATATTCTTCATGGTATAAAAATCATTTCTGTATATTTTTAGCATTGCATCTCTTTTTCAACATCAAAGCTCTGAAAAGTTTAGGCCAATTATGTTATTATTATTGTTCCCATCACCACAGCTATCACTAACTAGAAGTTTGTTTAGCAAGATCAAGTCCTCAAGGGATTAGTGTGCTGGGTAATCATCTCAACAGTAGACTAGGTCCTTTCACATCAAGGCACATTGTCATATTAAAATTCAGAAGTTTCAGCAATTGTTACCCAAAGTTTACCTGGTAGGATGATAAATGAGTCAGTCCTTTGTCCTCCAAAGTTGTCACTCAAATCTTGCATTCAGAAACTGGGTGGGACAGAAATTAGAAAGAAGTATACCCTGTTCCTACCTCCCACTGTGCCATCAAAGAGTTTGTAATGTAAGATAACAGTAGGTAATTGCAGAAGTTGAAAAAGTTTTCTAATAACGTTTCTCTTTTGTTTCAAAAATATTAGCCACAAATTGCATTATCATAACAATTATTCTTAACTGCAATAAACATTACATTACAGTAGCAGACTTTATTAAAAATAGGTTTCTGTTATTATAATTTTAAATCTTGGTAATAGCCTCAGCTAAAGTGCTTCTTTTTTTTTTTTTACTTCCTTCCTTCCTAAATTATTGGACATGAGAAAAGAATAGTTATTAATTGGGCAA